TGTCAATTTGGTCCTCAGTACTATCACGAAAAAGTCAATTAGATTCTCGTATCTTTTTAAAAATCAATTAAATTTCCGATTTTTGTCACAACATTTAATTGAGCCCATTTGCATGTTACATGCCATGTCAGCAGGTCACGCACTGACGTGGCACACATGTGGCAGCCAATTAGCAGTTGATAGCATAGAATTATGTTTGTTTATGTGTGTAATTTTAACTAGTTTTATTTGTTGTTGTTTGGGAAATTACACACTTTTGGTGTAATACTTTATTTTTCTTATTTGTTTGTAATTTGTATAGATTAGAATTATTCTGAGCTTTAACTAGGTAAAGATCATCAAAAGGATCCTTTGAAAGGTGAAGGAAAGTGCAAGGGAACAAGATCAAGTGCAAATTTGGGGAAAAGGTCATTTACCCGGTCGGGTAAAGCATATACCCGATCGGGTATTGACTTAATTCGAAGATCAAATCTGATTTGGAGGCAATTTAACGTGCATGGTGAAGATTTGGCAAAGATTTGTCTTTTACCCGATCGGGTAAATCAAAAACCCGATCGGGTAAGATGTGACAAATGAAGATTCCGGGCAATTTCTCAGGAAACCCGATCGGGTTTCTCAAAAACCCGGTCGGGTAAATGGCCCTGGCAGCTCCAAACACCTATAAATACAACCCCTTTCCTTCCCATTTAAATCAACAATTCACATATGCTCTTTAGCTTAGTTTAGATTAGTGTTTTCTTTATATTTTACATCATGTGTAGTCTCCAAATGAGGAGCTAAACTCTTCCATCTTGGTTTTGCTACTTTGAAGCTTAATGAATTTGTAAGTTGTGAGTTATTCTGTTTAATCTTCTTCCTTGAATATTAATTCTTCCTTTAAATACTATTTCTATATCAATGTTGGGGAGTGTTACTAAGATGACAATTAGTTAACATCTTGACATTAGTTATAGTAATAGCTATTTCTTCCTCTATGTTAATATTGGGGAGTGTTACTAAGATGACAATTAGTTAACATCTTGATATTAACTATAGTAGGATTCATCTTCTTTAATATTCTTCCCTGAGTATTAATTAATTCCTATTCATATTTCATATTAATATTTTGAACATTACTTAAAGGATCAACTAGTTTTGTTTCATATATTAATTATTACTAGAATCGGCCGATTAATACGCTTGTTATTAATTCGGTCCTTTCACGATAGTAAACTTGGGTTATTAATGCATGCATTTCATGGTTAATAAACCAAGGGGAATTAATTATATTGATTAAACCAATAAACCGCTTGAGTTGAGGTTATCAATCTCAATCGTTTTGATCTTGATTTTATTGCTACTATCGAGTGAATATACGGCGCGTGTTCTATATTAACTCGGTAGTATGTTTTATTAATGAACGCGTCTCGTTATTAATAACTACCCTCGATGAATTGGATATACTCCTCGATTGAGTATTCGAGAGGAAGATAGTTAAAGATATAACCAGGATCGACGAACATTTCATTAAGTGGGTAAAAGCAAAGCCAAGTCTTCTTCTCATTAATTAAACCACAAAACTCGTTCATCTTTGTGTTTAAATATAATTTAAGTTCATAAACCAATCATAAAAACTCCCCTTGTTACTTATTTCTAATTCTATAAAAAGAGAAGTGTTCCTTTCCTTGTGGATACGAACCTTACTACACTATACTACGTATTAGTGTCGTATTGTATTATTATTTTAAGTGCACACCACGACAAAGTGCCCGTCAGCAGTGTCTTTGCTGACGTGGTGCACATGCGGAAGTTCAGTCAGCAATTTGCTGATGATGTGGCACACACGTGTACTGTCACATGTGTGCCACGTCAGCGAGTGACTTGCTAACATGGCATGTAACCTGCAAATCGACTCAATTGGACGTTTTTTTACAAAGTTTAGGGATTTGATTGAATTTTTAAAAAATTCGAGGATCTAATTGACTTTTTCGTGATAGTACGAGAATCAAATTGACAGTTTTCTCAAGAGAAAAAGAAAGGAAAAGAAAAAAGCGAAAAGGGGAAAACATCTAAAAGTCCAATTATATTGAGACACATGGATAAATAACTTGTTAATTTTTTTAATTCCGGTCACAGGTCTATTTTGAGAAGATGTCATGTATAGGTTGGATTATTTGAGAATTACTCATAGTTGGGATTAATATGGGAAGAATGTCAAAATCAAGGGTGAAATTATTCATGTGATTTTTTTCTAAAGAAAAATAACAAAGTTTTAAAAGCTCGAGAGAATATTTTTTAAATATAACCAAGTTTTATGTGTGAATGGAAAAAGTTATGATAAAAAAGTTGACAACTCCCTATAGCTATAGGGTTGAGAGTCGCCGCCGCACGAGTCGGGGGTTGTTCTGGCCTTCTGATCGGGGTTGGGCTTGGCGTTTGGTCTCATTGATCGTCTTCGCGGTCGGTGTCCCAATTGAAGTTGGCAGGGCTGGTGGCTGCAGTACGAAGGCAGAGTCGGCTTTGGGTGATCGATGGGGTCCTCTGTGGAAAGAAAAGATGGAGGAGATTGCAGATAAATATAAGGACATGGCAATCGGGAATAAGGAGAACGAGATCGTTTTTGACGAAGAGGCTGTTGAGGAGGATGAGGTCTCGGCTGGCATGGAGACTTTTTTAGCAGTAGGCACTGTGATTACGGAAAGAATGGTGAAATTCCCGATCTTCAAGGATCTTATGGTGAAACTCTGAAGGCCTGTCAAAGGTATGTCCATCCAAGAAATCAGCGAAAAAAGGTACATGTTCACTTTCTTTCATATTCTGGATCTGAATCATGTGATGGAAGGTGGTCCGTCGATTTTTGAACAGAATTTGTTAATTCTCCGGGCATTGAAGCCAGGGGATGTTCCCCTACGTGTCCCCTTGAATGAAATAGAATTTTGGGTCCAAATGCATGATGTTCCTTATGATTACATGAATTTGAGGGCTGCCAGAAAGATTGGGAATTTCATTGGTAATTTTTCAGCTTTGATAAAAGTCAATTTGATAAGAAATGGAGGCCTTACATGAGGATTATGGTTTGCATGGATGTGGGGAAACCTTTGACGGTGGGTACGTCTCTTAAGAAAGAACAGGGAGAAGGGCACTGTGTTAACTTTAAGTATGAAAAACTGCCCATCTTTTATTTTGTCTGTGGCATTATAGGCCATGCTGACAGGTATTGCCCACTGGCTTATGAGAACAAGAGTGTGGAGCTACCCAAAGTGTATGGGGTTGGACTGCGTGCAGGAGTAGGGGGGAGGTCTCAGCCATTTGGGGATAATAAATGGCTCATACCTGAAGGGCAGGGCAGGAGAGGAAACGAGCGTGAGGATTCAAGCAGGGTTTAGACACTCTCTTTGTCTGGAGATAACAGGAGCTGTGTGGAAGATGAAAGCAATGAATCTGAGTGGGAAGCTTCTAGAGAAACTAAGCGCAGAAGGACTTGGGAAGACCCTAGCGGAGGGAGGGATGAAAGGGTCAACATGGCCCTAGATGATCCAAAAAACGGGGAAGGGGCGGGTGCTGGCTCCTCAACCCGCCGAGATTGATGAAGCTTTCTACAGCTAAAGGAGGGAGCTGGAGCTTGTTCGTGATGATCAGGATTCAACATAATTTAGACGCTTTTATTTTCTTTATTTGGATGTTTTTCGCCAAGAACTCGTTCTTTTCCATTTCTGTTGTTTTTTGCTTTCGAACTCTTACATTAGGTGGAGGTGGTGAGGATTCTGCTTTGGCCATGTTAGGCTCATGTAGACCCGTTATAGGATCAGCGAATCATATTGTTTTGTCTAGGGTGATTGGTTCTCCGGCTGGTTCGAGGGTCGGTGGCTAAAAGTGATTCTATTATCTCTGTTATCCCTTGCTGAATGTTTTATTATCAATATAAGCCACATTTTTCTAAAAAAATAAATATAACCAAGTATTTTATACACCGGAAAGCGGAAAGTTAGAAGTATGATGGAATGTTTTGATTTATTTTGTTTCCAGAGTTTATGAGATTCTATTTATTTTCATTTGGTTTGATTTGGTTAAGAAGCCGTTCTCTTCGTCTTAATCTTATTACTTATTCCTTATTCTTATTTTATTCAGATCAGATCGGATCAGAAAAATTCAGACCAGAAAGATTCAGATCAGATCAGAAAGATTCAGACCAGATCAGAAAGATTCAGACCAGATCAGAAGCATTCAGACCAGATCAGAAACATTCAGATCAGATCAGAAAAATTCAAACATGATTTATCACTTTTATTATTATATTAATTATAATTATTACTATTATAATTATTATATTATAATTATTGTTAATAATATAAATAATAACATATTAATATAATAATAATAATATAATAATAATAATATTAATAATATAAATAATAATAATATTATTATTATCATAATAATAATATAATATATTCATAATAATAATACAATAATAATATAATAATAATATAACAATAGTAATAATATTAATATTATTATTATATAATAATAATGTTATTATTATATTATTATTGTTATTATAATAATATAATTATTATTATAATATTATTATTGTTATATAATAATAATAATAATGATGATGATGATGATGATAATAATAATAATAATAATAATTGTTGTTGTTGTTGTTGTCATTGTTGTAATTATTATTATTCAGAGTAATTATATTTCTATTTATAATTATAGTTATAGTTGTAATTATAGAAATAAATATTATAATTATAATTACAATAATAATTATATAAGTAATTATAATTAAAAATATAATTACATTTATAATTGTATCTATAGTCATAATTAGTGTAATTCGTATAATTATTATGATTTTAATTTTAATTTTAATTATATTTTTTATGATTATGATTATAATTATAATTTTATTTAAGTAATATTTGTAATTACGATTTTAATTATAATAATTATAATTATAATTATAATTATGATTATAGAAATATTCAAATCAGATCAGATTAGAAATATTCAGTTCAAATTAGATCTGATCAGACGAATTCAGATCCGATCAGAAACATCCGGATCAGACTAGATCAGAAAGATTCAGATTATATCAGATCAGATCAGAAAGATTCAGATCAGATAAAAAATATTTAGATCAGGTGAGGAGAAGAACTTGTAAGTCCAATTAAAGTGCATGCCTAATTACTTGTGCTAGCTGCTAGGTTTACGCTGCTGACCATTATGATTAGTTCCATAATTCTATTCTAAAAAACTCGGCTAATACGAACGCCTAGAGCTAGAGACTGTCGTTATACCAGTCCCTGGATCCCAACTCCACTTCGACTATTCTCAGAGATGGAGAAGGGAAAAGCAGTGATGGGTGTGGGCCGGAAATGGGCCGTCGATTTCACAGACAGTTCAACTTCTCCTACCTCACGCGACATCCCCGATCCTCCTGGCTTTACCCGTGCCTCTCAAGATCAGGTCAATCTCCGCTTCGTTCTTCGATCTTATATGCGTCGCTGCGTTTTCCTTTGGCACAGTCATTCTTCAATCGGCATGTTTGCGCAATGAATTACTGATTATGCTTTCTGTTTAGAATTTTCATCTGTTTCTTTGTGTCAGGATGATTCAACTTTGAGCCGTGAAAAGAAGAACGCCGAGTCCAACTGGAAAGCTCAAGTAAGTTTTGATTTGCCTACTCATGTTTCTCTAAGGGTTTTGTGGCTATTCGCGATATATACTTACTTGGTGCTGAATATTGACCTTAAAAGGTAATCCCTCTGTCTCACAATTACCCTCCAACTTTCCTTTTTGGTATGTCCCAATTTTTTTCGGGACAGAGGGAGTATTACATATTGAATAACTTAGGTCGTTATACAGGCTTACAAGAAAGCAGATTAAAGAAACTAACTTTCTGACCCGTGTTGATGGCACTCTTATATTCATGGATATTTGTGGGGAAGTGAACAATATAAATGGTTGATCAATGGCTGCACTTTCATTGGTTTATTGATTGTGGTGGGTGTCTGTGTCACTGTGCGGGTGCTTTTGTTTTCTGTCATGACAATGCCAGCCTTTCTTGTTTTGGTCACAATGATAGCCCCTCAGCTCGCTCTTGAGCTTCGGTATCATACAAAATTGTAGCGGCTATAAGTAAAGATGATGCTAAAGCAAATTGCACTATTTTCTAGTCAAACCAAAGATTTTGGGCCATGGAAAGGATTGTAAATGTTTGTGCAATTCTGAGTACTACAGATATAAGCAGATAGAGTAGAAGGATCTGATGCTCTTAAGCTCCCTGAAAGTATAGTAATATTTAGAATCTGATGTACCTCTTGTGTACGGATGTCATTACCTCTGTGAATAATTGATATGTCTGCAAGAAAAGAAACATACAAATGAATCAAAACTTCATTTAAAGGACTGCTGGCATCTCATAAAGTACATTTGAACTTCTGATTCAGCTCAGTGCAGTCAGTTTATATTGTAACTTTTGCAGGGGTTACATTTTAACTTCACAATTACCTGTAGATGTTCAAGAATGCTATATATTTAGTAATCTTGATAATGTTGAAAACAGAAAGCATGGGAAGTGGCACAAGCCCCTTTCAAGAATTTGATGATGATGGGTTTTATGATGTGGATGGCCGGAAGCACAGTTCACCTGTTTAGCATAGGAATAACATTTTCCGCCCTTTGGCAACCCATAAGTGCTCTGCAAGGTGTTGGGAAAGGTCAGGCTTCTTTCATTCTTGTATTTATTTATCTTAAAGCCTTAACTCTTTTTATACTTGTATATATGATGGTTCACATCATAGACACAGGATTCATGTCCAAATAAGATTTTGTTTAATATTATGTAAACGTAGATCTGAGTTTTCTTCAACAACCTGAGCCTTTGCTATTTGATATGAGCTCAAATAGCAACATTTATGTCCTATAAATTCATCTATCACTGTCATAATATTCATTGCAATAACTGTTTTTGTGTAGTATTTGAGCCATACAAGGACAATAAAGTGGATCTCCTGGGCCCAAAATTACTATTCATTGCTTTAAACTTGGCTGGTTTAGGATTGGGCATCTGGAAGGTGGCGTTTTCTCTTGAGTTTTTCCTTGGAATTTTCTGCTTTTAGTCACTATAAACTCATTAGTCATTACTAAATAAATTATGTTTCTTACACAGCTTAATACATTGGGTCTTCTTCCAACTCACCCATCAGATTGGGTGTCATCCTTGCCACCTCCCCAGGTTTTACTCTTGCACCAACTCTTCATTTTCTACTCTATATCTTTCATTGGTGTATCAGTGTATGGCTGTGCATGCATTCAGCACTTGTTTTTTTCCATACACGAGTGCTGTGATTTGGAATATGTGTTGACTTTTGAAGGAATAAAATATCAAACTAAACACATGAGGCCACATATTTCAAAATGATAATGCAACCTTTCCCCCCGACTTCAGTGTAGCAAGCTACCCATTGCATGAACATTTACATTTGCACTGGAAAGAGCTAATTAGTCGGCCAGTTGTGCAAGAGCTATCTAGCAGAGTAGCAGTAGCCTCATAAAGTCATAATAAGTAGTAATTGCTCTCTTATGTGTTGTTTGGTAATGTTGTGTGATTTGTTTTCTTTTTAATCTTACTCTTCTTAGAACAGAAAATAAGACATGATTTTCTGTTTGCACTGTTTTCAAATATGAGTTTCGAGTTCTTCCATTTCAAGTCCCTCAACTATTGGGTTAGTGACCCTTTTGGTACTCGACTTTCAAATTTTCCATTTTTAGTCCTTGACTATTGTGCAATAGACACTTTTAGTCCTCGACTTCAATGTTTTCCACATTTAGGGGGTGTTTGGATCTGATTCATAAAACTGATTCTGCTCCTTCAGGGAGCAGAAGTTGGAGTGTTGGGTGAAAGTGCAGAAGTTATTCTAGTGTCTAATTTACTCCTAGAATTAGTTTTTTTAAGAAGTTGACACTTTTAGTCCTTCCACTATGAATTTGACACAATAATTGGAGGACTAAAAATGTCACTATAATAATAGTTGAAGGACCAAAAGTGTCAATTTTATGAAAGTCGGATGATTAAATGTGAAAATTTTCAAAGACAGGTACCAAAAGTGTCTGTTGCGCAATAGTCAAAGGACTAAAAGTGGAAAAATTCAAAGTCGAGTACCAAAAGTGGCAAAGTGACAAAAAGTGCCGATCCAAGGTTTCAACACCTTTATAAACCCTAAGAATTTTTATGAAAACTATATATTTTCGTTATAAATAATGTGGATCACATGCACAAAAGTAGATCCGCCAAGAGATATTCTGCTATTTAGGGCAATTTATTATGTTTAAACCCATTAAGCTTAGAGCATTAGTGATAGAGTTAATCAGGTCACAGAGAGAATAAAAACTAGAGCAGAAAAAATGATACCAAAATAATAGGTGTCACAAGAACAGTTATTTCCAGCAGTACATACTGAGTGTTCATAAGAACAATTATCAAATTTATGTATTTGTATCTTTACACCAGTACATTCTGAGTGTTCAAAAAAACAATTATCAAATATTAGTACTTCTATCTTTGAGCTTTATTTCTTCAAATACAGAATTTGTAATATAATTAACATAGCTCAGTATATACCCACTTAAAATGCCCAAAATACCTGGACCTTTCCTATTAACTAGTAGTCAATGGCGAGATATGGCGCTCGCCATATGCGCCATCGCCATGATAAGGTGATCATCGCAATAGCGCTATTTGCGCCTTATGCGCCATTCGTATATGCGCCATCGCCATGCGCCATGAAAAATGCCATGGCGATCGCCATGCGCCATGACAACTATGCTATTAAGGCTCAGAAAGGCAGAGGTGCCCAATAATACCCAGCCTATTGCCATCTCTCGACAAGAGGGTCAGAAGGATCATATTTATGAGTCATTGAACAATTGAAGGGTCAATTAAAAAATGAAGAACTAGGACCACATTATAAATTATGAAATAATTGAAAGACCAAATGCACGTTTCCCTTTTAAATCAGAAAAAATTAATTGAAGATTACTTTGACACCTAAAGTTTCACTGGGAGTATAGGACATATTGAATGTGGACAGATAGAAAGGACTCGAGATTTTAATAAAATAGAGATATACGAGTAGATGTCATTTCTGTGAACTATGGTTTAAGAGGCAGTTTAATTGAAAAACAGTGTATGCTTAATCCTTCTTAACAAAGTGAAAACAGTTTAATTATAGTTTAAAATCAGTTATATGCTTTTACCAAAGCAAAGTCTATGACATTTGTGGCCTCGTGAAATCGTGCAGGAGGTTGAATATTCTGGTGGAGATGTATATCTACATTAAAGACCTGCTAGTCTAGATGTGAAGCTCAAATATCTTTAAAAGAAGCATGTTGCAGAACTTTTGAAGACTGTGATTCACCTCTGTTTGTAATAGTGAGCAAGAAAGAGTTTTTTGGACTCCTTGGGATGTATTTATGCAAGTTTTTTTTTCCCTTTTCTTATTTGAAGTATTGTAATCTTATGATAATGACCTTGGCTGTTGTCATTTCTTTGACAGTTTGACCAAACTACACTCATAATAGCATAATTGACGCTTTATCACTTCATGTTCTACACTTCTACTCAAGTGTGAAATCTTTTTATAAAACTCTTCGAAATCTAAGAGAAGAGTTTGGCCAAACTCTTTTTAATTGCAACACTTCCATTTTCATATTTGTAAACACACAAATTTGTTCATTTATATATTTAATTCTCTATAAATTAAGAAGGAAAAATTGAAAATAATAATCTCAACTATTGCCGGTCCGCTGAAAATAATCCCAACAATTGATTATTTTTGTATAATCCTAACTATATAGACTATCTGCCAATAATGGTCCATGACCAGATATTACCTCTATCAAAAGTGAATTTTAAATAGAAATTAAGTGTAAAAATTAAAAGTTGAGATTATTTATAGGGATTACTTGTTATATCTCATCTCATCCACTTTAGAAACTACAAGAATTTATTCATAGGGATCATTATGGCGGAAGGTCCCTAAAGTTGGGATTATTCTGGAATAATCAATAGTTGGGAGTATTATGAGCGGACCGCCAATAGTTGGGATTATTACTATCAATTTTTCCAATAAAGAATTTTTAAAAATCTGATTGAAAAATTGAAACAAGATGAGTTTAACAAAAAATAAAAAATCCAAATATAATAAAAAATCTAGTTCAAGTAAAACATGTAAGCAATATAAAATTTAACGGGAAAATGGAAACTAATAATCCAACCTTTCAGCGGTCTTCTTTCAATAATCCCACCTTTTGATTATTCATGAATAATCCAACCTTTGCACCTCATCTTCATTCATTGGTCTCTGGTTGGTTAATGACCTACTATTCCAAGTTATTTTCTTATCTTTTCAAAATATTATCTTTGTGAAAGATGAGATTTATGATATAATAATTTGCAAAGATAAGAAAATAGCTTGAAATAGCAGGTCATCAACCGGTCAGGGACCAGTGAATGAAGATGAGGTGCAAAGGTTGGATTATTCATGAATAACCAAAAGGTTGGATTATTGAAAGAAGACCGCTAAAAGGTTGGATTATTAGTTTCCATTTTCCCAAATTTAACTTCAATTTTTTATGTAAATGAGATGTTTCAATTAAATTTCACAGGGGTCCAGATTCCAGATTACTTCTAGTTTAGTCCTCAAAAACCACACTTGCTCAGAGTTAGAGGTGAAAATGGTCATAATTTACTAATTTAGCCATTTAGGTACCGGAAATTCAATGTTTATTTTCCATTAAAATCCCAATACAACGATGATGAGGATATATCATCCTATGAACCTATGATTAGACATAAAACACCAACTCACACGGGAGCGCTAACCATGAATTGGACTTGAATTCTATGTTGGTTTTTCTACATTGTTAAGGGAAGAAACAATTGCTCATTCGTTTAAGTTCCATAACTATTGGTATTAACTTCCATAATTATACAAGGGTAGCATTGTAGATGCTCCTTGCCATAGCAACCAGTCAACCACTTATTCAACACATCAATTTTTTATAATTTGATAAATAACTATATTTATAATTATGTTTGTGTAAAAAGTTGAAATTATATTTGTAATTTGAAAAATATTATTTTAATGTATCTGCATAAGTTTTGGTATAAGTTTACATAAATTATCCTAGTAAAATATAGGAAAACTTTAAAATAGGAGTAAGAATAATGTGAAACTCCAAAATAAAAATATGATAATATTCTTGCTTCTTGGGGAATTTCTCTAATTGGTACCAAAATTCATTATTTTCATTAAATAATACGGAGTATGTATTAAACACATACATTCATTAAAAACATTGCACCGAAAAAGTTAATTAATTGACACAATTGTGATATAAGAATCGACACACTACTGTCAGATTAGTGCTAATGCATTATATATTTCAAAAATAATTCTTGATACATGATCAAAATATGAACATTGGACAAGAATATGATTTAATAATTTTGAGTAACTATGATTATATTCAAATTTTACATGATAGTGATAATAAAAACATGTTCATTCTAACCTCACTTACATTTTTATGTGTAAATTTCTTTTGGTAATATTTTAGAAAAACATATTGTATGTCATAGAGCTACTGGAATAAAATCAAATTAACTTTTATAAAATATTATAGTCCGTACATTGGACTTATTGGAGAAGAAAGAACATATCCTAGGTTTTTACCACGGTTGTTTCGATTTTTTCTGGTAAGTTATCTCCTTCACTTTTTCTGTCATTCTCGTACTTGATGTCTATATCAATTTTAGAAAATCGAAAATGATTAGAATTTAACGAACTACCCACTTTTGTCTTCTTTATGTTAACAATAACTGTTTTTAATTATTTGGTTCTTTATTTTTGTCTGATAGAACGCATGAGTTAATTTCAAGATTCTATTGTTTACACCCTTGATTCTTTACCCCCTTTCCAGTATAGAAAAGCCAATTTCAAAGGAGAATTCTCAAAGGTTCAGACATTTTCTTGTAATTTAAGTGATGATTTTTCTTCACCCAATTTGGGGGGAGGGGTTTTGTGTATGGAGGTTTTTATGTATTTTGGGTATGAGAATTTGCAGTACAGGGAGCGAGGGGGGTTTAATTATTTTTAAAGATATGATATTTCCAGAAAACATGGGGGTTTTAAATCTTTAATGCACTTAAAGAATTTCCTTTTTGTGTGTGTGTGTGTGTGTTAAATTGAGCAAGAGAGTAAAAGGATTCTCTTTTCAGGGAGAGGACAACATCAATACACCAGATAGGCATATACTATATCTCTGCTGGAACATCATTCTTTTGAGATCTTAGAGGTTAGTTTCTACTTTCTTGAATCTTTCTCTGAGTATGAATTCCTATATATTTAATTAGGTTTATATTTATATTCACACAGTCACACACATACTGCCATACTGGTTGCCAATTGTTTCCACTTCCCATAAGAAGAAATGATTTTCTCTAGAAAAGGACACTGTTGCTGAATGTATATAAGGGCGTTCAGTCTAATCAAACTTGAATTATATCAGCTTGATGCACCAGTAAATTTAAAAGTTCCTTAATGGTTTTCATGATCATGGCATATTGTTAATGATCATGAGTTATTCCCAAACTATTTTGAATTGTGTATTTTGAAGTAAATGTGCTTTTGATAGATTACATATTGCCTAAGCCTCAATGTTCCCGTGACATGTATAGCCTCAAGGCCAAATGGGCCTAATAATGCCTGAGGCGCACCTTAAAGCATAATTGCATCATGCAATTTCGAATATTTGCTTATATGAGGTTGGTTGTTAATTGTTATAGGGGTGGATAACCAAGTTAAATATCGCAAATGATACATATTCTTTAGCTATACAATCTAAATGAAATGGAGAACATGATATTCAAAACATAAAACCCATCACCATCATCATCGCCTTAACCCCAACTAGTTGGAATCACTAGCATGAAGGCTCTACTGACACTAATCTTCTAAAGTTAGCTAACATTATAAGTTTTGACAGGAAATATATCATGGAAACTGGAAAGGTTTTGTATTGGATGTCCTTCTTGCTGTAATTTCGTATAAAGGACTAATGAGATGAAGCTTTAAAATTGTCATCATTGAGGGTTACTTTTATTTGGATGCAAATATCACAAAATCATGATAGGGTGATAGGTTCGGGTAGTCTCTATTGCCACTTCAATTTGATGATAAATATAGTTTGATTAATTACATCTATTTAGAACTGTAAGGGTTTTAAATGGCATTGTTGGTACGCAAGGGAAAGTGCAGAGTCAACTGAAAATTCAGAGATGATCAATTGAATTAAAATTTAAACTAGAAATACTTTTTTTGTGTATAATTCAAATCCTCTAGAGTCCAAGATATGGTGTATTTTGGAGAGATTGCATTGAGCCCACAAGTTTTATCATCATCTCAATTTATTTTTTGAGAGGAATACTCTCAAAAAGGTATTATGGGGACATAGGTGTGTATTCCTTTTTATTGTAGTTTTTATTGGTTTACATTTATGTGACTTTGAAATGCTTCTATCCTTATCACACTAATGTCTATTTCTGCCTTTGCCTATGTGAATTTAATTAATAAATACTTTTTGAGGCTTCACCTTAATGAATTTGGTTTGGTAGGTTGCGGTGTATAATTGAATGCCAAGGATTACCATAATTTGACACCTGTAGCCATTTTCTCTTCGCTATCTTAAATACCGCGGATTACGGTATTGTGTAGAAGCGTATCCATTCGATATTCATCGTTTACTCCGTCCATCACTTTCCCTCACTTTGCATGCTCCATACTGGAACCATAACAGCTCAAACAGCATGAAGGTTTGATTTTTTTTTCTTAGCATCTTGCTTTATTTTTTCCTTGGCATCTTGATTTATATGTAGTTACATATAGTTTGAAGACAGTATTTTTATAATCTCTTTAGATCACATTTTGAAAGAAAGAAACAGTGAAAGGACATTGATCTACAATATTCTTCTGTTTACTATACTCATAAGATTTAGATGACTCAAAATCAAATGACAGTCGCACTCACATTCTTCGTTCCTCAGTTATATCTACTATTCTTTGAAAGGAGTTATGAGTCTCAAGTTAGGTTGATTTTTGTGAATTTACATTCTGTAATCTGAAGCTATACAAATTGTTTTTCTTGTTTATTGAAATTCCTTCTGTGAAGCAAAATCTCACTGTGAATATCACTTTGCATGTCATAAGTTCTTAACCATGTTCTCCAAGCATATTTATTTGAGTATATAACATACCTTGTTAGAAACAGATGAAGAACCAACACCTCGATAAGTTTTTTGTGGGAACAAGTCTTAACTGTAATCTCTTCACAGGAACGCCATCCAAGGCATGTTGAGAAAAAGAGGAGCATTCTTGAAAGTCCATCTAGCCATTTGAGTCAAAAGGTAAGAGAACATGATTGCAAAATGTTTTTGACGCCTTTATTCAGTTACATTAGCATTTAACATTTCTCCAATGTAATATGAGATTCCCATAAGTTTGGATGTTGGAGTTTTCTGTTTTTCGAATTGTCAGCTTAATAGTCTTAACTCACAACCTTTCATTATTCTTTGAACGTGTCATAGCTCTCTCCTTCTGTCATACAGTATAGAATTGTGCACTACCAAGTGGAAACT